TTTAGTGAAGTCATCAGTATGGGAAGGATTATGGACAGGGAGATCAGTTAGCAGAAAGTTACCTTTATCCAGGCTGAGATAAAGACATTGTAAACATGGCTGGCAGCTATTATGAGAGAGGACAAGTAGGATATTTTTTATAGGAATGGAAGGAACTAGAGACAGACTCGCTCTTCAGAAATGAAATAAGAAGGTAGTTGAAGATCTAGAGTAAAACTCATCAAGGAAACAGACACAGTGAAGAATAAAAGGCAGAACCCACAATTTTCCACCCAAATCAGGACCCTTTTCAGACTGAAAGAGGAGCACTGGCAGTTACTACCCCAGAACTGTATGTACAGACAGGGCCAGTCCATGGCAAGCAAGGATTCATGGTCAACCCATCTGAAAAGAACTTTAACCACCAACATAGAAGATAATGTTCAGATTCATGAGCAACTGGATTGCTTGAACTCTAACCCTAGGTTTCCAAAAGTTCAAAGCATTACCAGGAAACCACCAGTGAAACTGAACCTGCAATTCTTTGGCCACCTGATGTGAAGAGCTGATTCATTGGAAAAGACCCTAATGCTGGGAAAGATTGAAGGCAAAAGGAGAAGAGTGTGGCAGAGGATGAGATGGTTAGATAGTATCACCAACTCAATGGACATGAGTTTGAGCAAACTCTGGGAGGTGGTGAAAGACAGGGGAGCCTGGTATGCTGCAGTCCATGGGGTCACAAAGAGTCAGACATGACTTAGCAACTGAACACCCCCACCACCCCCACCATCAGAAAGGTAAAAGACTTAAAAGCTGCTTTGAGCAATGGAGGGGACTACCTAGAGAGCTAAGATGGAGAACAAGGATGACATCCCTGAAATCAAATCTATTCCCCCAAGCCTCTACTTCTTTGCAATGTGTCACATCCCAATTTGGGGCCTCTCTGCTCACAGGATTTTAAGGACCAAATGCCTTTAAAAATCTCATTTTCTTCAAGTCTAATTCCTGGATCTCGATATTCCGTTCCAATGGATGATTGGTGAACTTGACCGTAACCAGGTGTGTGTATAGGTGGGGGGTGGAAAGGGAGGGGCAGGGATGGGAGGACGAGTGCAGCAGGGATGCTGGCTCTTCAGAACACATCAGCCGGCTCGTGGGCTGTGACCAGCCTGCAGACACCTATGTGGACCCCAGACCAGCGTTCAGTCCCCCGTGTGGCTCTGGTGGTGGAAGTCATGCTCTCTCTACCCCAGCCCAGGTACCCAAGGCTGGGTGACCAGAAGAGGGGAGGGATTTCTCCCTCCTTCTTGGTGCACTGAGCTCTCTCATCAACCCCACAGTAGGCTGCTCATCCCACAACACACTCAAACACTGTGTACCTCCTAACATTACATGCAGGGCTACTGTCTTTACTAAACTGCAAGCTATCAGAGGGCCTTGGCTCTTGTACTCTTGGCACAAGTAGGTGTTGGAATAATACTGAAGGCATGAAGTGCACACCCACAGCTGCTTTCTGTGCTACTTATTTTGGTGACAATCTAAAGTTCCTTTGTCTCCCATTTTTCTATCTCATGTGGTCTCTGCCTGCTTTTCTATTAACAATTAACCACCTTAGAGAAGGCCACCAAGGGTCAACTTCCAATTTTACCCACATAATCTACTCCTTTCTTTCATCATCCTATTATCAGTTCCTTCAACAAGGTGAAGTCTTCAGTTTTTCTGAAAAAAATCATTCTTTTCTATACCTGAATGGGTGGCACAGTGAGAAGTATAATTTGTTGAGTTAGGAAGAGCTGGGTTACAATCCCCGCTATGGGTTAGTTAGCTGTGAACTTGGATTGCCCTTTCGTCCCTCAATTGAACCTCTCTGTGAAATGAGGATACCAAAAGTCTCATTAGGCTAATTGAGAAAGTAATATTTTTATCAATGTTTTATATTAAGTACTGGTAGTATTATTAGTAAGTAGTTGACATGGTGTTAAAAAAGCTAAGTGCCAAAAACCATGCAATACTCAGGCTGTTGCATTTAATTCTCATGACTACTTGGCAGGGAATATTGTCTCAGTGTCTCAGATGAAGAAACTGAGGCTCAAAGAGGTTAAGGAATTTACCTTAAGGTAACAGAACTACTAGGAGTGGCAAAGCAGAAACTGAAAGGCAGGCAGTTGAACTTCAGGACTTACAAACATTATCCCTGAAGGCAGAACTGAATAGGCAGTTCAGCAAAATATCATAGCCACGTTGCTTCTATAGTATAGCCAGAATTTATTGTGTCACTGACTTAGATCTCTCTTTTACCATCACTAAAAAAAAAAAATCTACCCTAACTTCAAGTCATGCAGAAGATTCCTATTTTTTGCCCTCAATATCACAGTCTAATAAACATCAAGTCTGCTTCCAGGAATATGAGGGGATAAGGGAAAAGGAGAGAACACAGAGTGATGTTAGCCTGAGTTGGAGTCTCATTCACTGACTAATAATTTTTTTAATCACCAATATGTTTGACCTGTATCATAGCTCTTAAAACCTGCTAACAGAGTACCAATAAATGTTATTTGATGTCAAGTTATTTTCCACACTTGGCTTCATCCCTTTTCTACATATTTTTAAATCTTCCTTGTAAGTAATTTGATATCGTTACCTGAAAAGGTATTCATTTATGTCAGATTTTCCTTTCAGTCTCCCTACACTTTTTTTCCAACATGCTTAAATTTGCCATTTTTCAAGCATCTTATTATATGACCGCACCACATGACTGTCACTAGTTTGTGTAGAAAGTCTAGGCTCATTAGCTGCTCTTAAGAAGCACGCTGGTCTGCCCTGTGTATTGTTTTTATTTGTGTTCGAAGTCTTGCAAATGATGATCACATATTATCAGATTCAACCAAGACTCACAAAAACAACACCACCAAAAAAATTGTTAGTTATTTTTTACAAAACTGCAAGAAATAGTGCTGCTTCATAATCACTACCAGTAATACCTAAATAGATTACTTAAGAGACAACAATGAGGTGGTTTAGAATAATTTTGGATGAGAAACAAAAATAATGCTCAATACCATTCTATCATGTTGTTTCACCTGGTTCTAGCTAGACTTGCAGAAAGTATTTCCTGGGCAAGTCAAGCAACAGAATCCCAAACCTAGGCAGCATTTCTGTCTTTGGTGGTGAGAGAATGACACGTATCTAACGAAGGGAGGCAAAAACCCCCATTTTCAATGGTAAGTGTGCTCAGAGACATCTCTGGATAAAGGAGAAGCTCTCCTGTGATGGACAGGGAAGGCTCCCTTCCGTGTCTCATTGTTTCATCTTTTCCTTCCCACTTCCAGACACGTCTAATTTATACATTTGGGACTAACTTATTATGGAGCAGCCAGAGAGAAAATGGCAATTACTTTCTTTGCAGAACAACAGAAAAGATAGTACAACTCTGTCCTGAAAGATTCCAAGTTCTCTAAGAAAGGCCACCACCTTTGGCTTCATTTCCTCTGATAAGTGGTGCTTAGGGAAGTGGGCACACCTGTTCTGCTAAGTAGACCTGCTCATTAATCTTTGATGAGTGTCACACACTGAAGTCATTATGGACTGAGCCCCAGCTGAGTGGAGGAGCGAGGTCCTATGTCACACGGGCACATCTAAACCTGATATATGTTTATCATGTAACTAACATCGGTAAGAGTCAGAGCAAACTCCTCCACGTCTTAGCCGGCACCGTCAGTCACTAAACACAGCTTCCATACCCAGGTCTCCAAGGGTGGTGACCACCAAGGGCAAGATGTAAAGCCTTGATGGTGTATGTCCAGGAGACGCAAAAGCAGGTCTCAGATGTAAACTCCGAATACTCCCAGGAATACCAGGGTGGAAATTTTGGGGATTATGTTAGTATCTATAGTGCTTATCTCCACCAACACCCCCATTCCACCATCTGCATCTCCTTAAACTGAGGGCACAGTTTACAAAATTTCCTCTGTAAGCAGAGGGAACTCTATAGCTGTGCCCAGATTCTTTAGGAGAAAAAGAGAAACAAGTTTCTTTTCCAGGGTCACACTTACAAATTCTTCTCTACATGATTCCTAGAAAGAACAACTGCTTTAAGACCTGGCCTTCATCCAAATTGATATGAAAACTTTCCTCTACTGGTCCTCACAGAGTACTCATAGACTATTTAGAAAGATTTAAGACTCTAGAAAGGAACTGAGCTAGAGGAGCTATTTAAGGTTCTCCCAACCCTAAAATGCAGGAATGCCAGCATTTCCAGATTCAGAGAACGACCCCCTGCAAATTCAAGCAAAGCACACACTGTGTATTTCGCAGTAAGCCTTCAGGATAAGACATGCGCAGTCCCACACCGTTCACACGCAGCCCCATGCCTCCTCACCGAAGGCAAACAAAGCATGCTAACCCACAGAGGGGGGAAGACGCACACGGTGCTCCCCCTCTAGGTTTCTCCCTTCAGAAAAACACCCACAATTTTGCAGTTGGCTATGTTTATTCGGCTTATTTTGAGTTGACTCATTTCCATCACTCAGATTTGAAAATCTTTCTAATAACCACGCTGTAGGCTAACAAGCACTCAAGAGAAAATACAAAGTCACACTCAATTCTTAAATTAATCACTGGTGAACTTCCACCCACTGTTCCTGCATACACTCCCTCAAGGCGAAGCTTTAGTTTTCAGGTCGCAGTTCATGTGGTACAACAGCATCCTCACGGCCAGGCATACACCAAGGCAGATACTGCACACACTGGCCACAGTGATTCTAAAGACAGAATCCAATCAACACTGGTCCACAGCTCAGGTTGGCACATCATAAAGAGTATGAGAAACGAGACGTGTGCCCAGCACATTCTCTCCAGAGAGCCTGGGACTGCACGGACATTTAAGATTAGGTGGCCAGGAAAGCATACAGACTCACACAGAGACCACAGACCAGAACAAGTGAGGCTAGCTCAGGACCAAACCAGCGCCCTCCCCTGATCCGAGTCCAAGCTGTGTAGGGCATGCAAGTCGCTCTACTTACCCAGCATAGCGGTTGCCATAAAGGTGACTGTGTCCTGGGCACAGGCTCTTCAAAAAGAGCAGGCAGAGAGGCAGAAAAGCTGCTGTCTGGCTCCTGGGCTTCCCGAGGAACTTCATAGCGTGAGGATGAGAGGGCTGCAAAAGTTCCTCCTGTAGTTACAGGCACCCCTCCACACGGCACACAGTCCCTGGGAGAGGGTGGGGCCGTGGGCTTGGGAGGGAGCAAAATGTGACACTTCTTTCCAGCCTCAGAGAACAAAAAAAAAGTTCAAGCAGCTGAGGGAGGGAGGTTGCTGCTCAGACTTGGTCCTGGGATGAGAAACAGCAGCACACACAGCCCTGCCCTGAGCTGAGCTGATCCTTAACCGGGCTCCCTCCAAGGGGCCGGGCCTCCCCGGGCTGACTCACCACGGGGGGTTGCTGGGTGCTGCTTCATTTGGGTAACTCCTCTTTTTATTTTCTTGTTTTTGGAGGCTATTTTTTTTTTTTTTTTTTTGCTTTCCAACTATAGGATGTTAACTTTTTATGACGACCTTCCTCCTACCCTAGAGTTTCCCCGATGACTCAGCAGGTAAAAGAATCCACCTGCAGTGCAGGAGACACAGGAGATGCATGTTCGATCCCTGGGTTGGGAACATCCCCTGGAGGAGAAAATGGCAACCCGTTCCAGTATTCTTGCCTGGAAAATCCCATGGACAGAGGAGCCTGGTGGGCTAGGGTCCAAAGAGTGGCAAAGAGTCGGACATGACTGAGCACAAGAATGAGAGTGAACTGCAAAAGACTTGTTTGAGGATGAGCTAAAACACACAGGTGTAGAACATTGCAGACTTTATGTTTTGCTCTACCAAGGCAAATTTCTCCCTGGAGTCCACCTCCTGAAATGCACAATGAATTCAGTCTGGATGAGCTGGGGACCTCAGGTGTGGCCGGCCAGCCCGGGTCCCCGCTCCTACCTGAACCAGGTCAGGGCAGCCACTTCCCTGGGCTTCACGGAGCCCCATGCTGATTTCACACGTCATCAGCAGCACCCAGGCCTGCGGCCAGTTCAAAGGTTCTCGTGGGGACCTGGAAGACTCTGGGTACTGAGGCACATTCCCCGCACATTTGGAATCACTTAGGGAGCCAGGCTATTTAAAGCAATTCCTGGGGGTGGGATCAGTTGTTGAAAAAGCCCCTCAGGTGAGTTGGAGGTCAGCCCCCTTGCTGGTCTAGAGCGGACTTCTCAAATTTGGGCATGCACACACATCACCTGGGAATCTTGTTAGAACACAGCTTCCGAGGCAGCAGGCTGGGGCTGGGGCCTGAGTTTCTGCATTTCTAACAAGATTATAACTGATGCTGGTACTGCTGGCTCTTCAGTCACACTTTGAGGAACAAGGCTTTACTTTACAATGAGTTCTGCTTTGGCTTCTATCTCTAAAAGCTAGTGGGTGGAGGAAACCTTGAAGGAAGCCAGTTCCTTCTTGTTATTCCCATGTTGGTGATAAAGAAGGCTTTTTTTGCATTTACTTGCTTCTACCCTCAGGGTTCCCAGGTGGTGCTAGTGGTAAAGAACCCACCTGCCAATGCAGGAGATGTAAGAAACTTGGGTTCAATCACTGGATCAGGAAGATCCCCTGGAGAAGGAAATGGGAGCCCACTGCAGTATTCTTGCCTGGAGAATCCCATGGACAGAGGAGCCTGCTGAGCTACAGTTCAGGCGGTCTCAAACAGTCGGACACGACTGAAGTGACTTAGCACAGCATGCACACTTCTACCCTCATACACCAGAAGACCCATCTTTGGGTTTTCAGGATGTGCTTTGCTTTAGTAAATAAGAATACGGCTATTTAGGGTGTCTCCTGCTGTCCCCCACGGCCAGTTGCCATCAAGAGCTCCTGCATCTTCTATCATGACAGCCAAAACCCCTGATAGAAAAGAAGTCACCAAATCTTCCTCCTGGGGACTTTAACCAAACACATAGGCATTTGGAGCATGATAGCTGAAAAATGATTTTCGTCTGTGATGGTTTTCTAAAGTTTTCTCCAACTTCTTTGTTGCTTTACTCTCACTAAGTCGTATCCGACTCTTTTGCAACCCCATGGATTATAGCCCGCCAGGCTCCTCTATCCATGGGGCTTCCCCAGCAAGAACACTGGAGTGGGTTGCCATTTCCCCTTCCAGAGGAATCTTTCCTACCCAGGGATTAAGCCCACATTTCCTTTGTCAGCTGGCGGATTTTTTTTTTTTTTTTACCACTGAGCCACCTGAGAAGCCGCTTTCTCCAACTACCCCAGAATTATTTTGGTAACTCTGTTCTCCATGTTCCCCTTCCTAACACCCAGTATGTCTGCTACTGTAGGGCACAGCACTTCGATTTTAAGTGTTGGTCTGCTTTTCTTAAAAGGCTGTCTTCTCCCTGAATGCAGAGCTGTGTCCCTCTGTCTTTGTATGACTGCCTTTTCTCTCCTGGAGAGAACAACGTTCACCAAAGGATTGATCAACAGTGTTTGTTGAGTGAGTGCTAAACTGGGAAGGGATTCATTCAACAAACATTTACTCTGTGGCCTCTTTACCCAGATAGAGGAAAGCCCACCGGAGCAGCCGAGAGTTGCATGGGTGCCTTTGAGAAGGGGCTGTACCCAGCCTCCTGGATTTGTTTCCTGTTGTTTTATGTTGTTTTCTTCTGTCTTGACTTCCTGGCCTGGTGCTTTGGTCTTTGCAAGGCTGCTCTGCAAGCAAGGCTCACAGTGATATTTCCTGGGGCCTTTTCGACAAGGCCACGAAAGCCTATACAGCTGCCAGTGAGTTGTTGAAATAAGAGGTTACCGTGTAAATAAAACACTTCATCTCTTTGCATTTCGTTATGTCAGAACAATGTATAAATCTGTCATATTATATCACAACATTAAACTAGGAATGTTCAGTCTCTGACTGGGGATTAAGCTCATCCTCAAATCATCCTGAAGGGCTGGACCCAGAGAGCCTGTTTAGCAAATGCTCTCCAGACCCTGAGCCCAAGGTAATCATTTCCTGGGCCAACAGAAATGCAAAACACCCTGGAGACATTCTATAGCCTTCCTAAAAATTTCAGATCAAAGAGGGGTTCTCAAACAATAGAAGCCCTTCCTAACAATCTTCCTCTGCTTTTCTAAAGACCAGGTTATCTGATCAGATTTCCCTTGGAGTAGATAAGCGCCCATAAAATGAGTGATAAATAGAGTCCATTTAACAAGTGGGAGGAGAAGAGGATGGTTTTATAGATGGATTCAAAGATAAAAGTCCCATTTTTAAGGCACTGAGAGGGAGTGAATTATTAAACCAGTTAGAGATTTGGAGATAGAAGAGAAATTCTGTTTATTAGCTGTGCCTTTGTCATATTTCAGTGGAAGGGTGAGTTTTATTAAAATAAATATTATCCTGCAGAGAGAAAAGAAAGAGGAAACTACAGTAGGGGAAGGAAGACATCATCCTTGATGTGGGTTCATTCTGGTGGATGATTAGATAAATTTTAATGTCTCTTCCAGATCTGGGATTCTACGATGCTACGAGGGAAGACTTTGTGAGTCCCTTTCTTAGGATATGAGTGAGAACCATGTAGACAGATTTGGGTAAAGACCTCATCAGGAGAAGGTGGATGGCTGGGGCTGGGCTCACAGTACAAACAATCCTCTCCTCACAGGTGGTTTTGTGCTCACCTCTCTGCCTCTTACTGACAGAGATGTTACTGCTCACCGGGTCTCTTCTATGGCTTTCTGCCATTGTTCCAACACCTGAGGAAAGAGCTGATGTGAGGTTAGCTGCCGTATGTGGTCTCAGCAAGTCTGTGAGGAATGTTTTGGAACTTCCTTTCACAACATTTCACTACCAATTCCCTCCCAACCCTCTTCTCCCGCACCATCTTGACCCCACATTTTTAATCTTTCTCTTGTCAACCAGCCATATCTCTCCCTCAGACACAAGCTACTTCTCTTCTTCTTCTGGTTCCTCCTTTTCCTCCTTCTCGTCCTCCCCTCGCCCTTCCTCTCCCCTCCCCTCACCCTCCCTCTCCCCTCCCCTCGCCCTCCCTCTCCCCTCCCCTCCCCACTCTCCCATTCTCCCTCCTGCTCTCCCCTCCTTCTGAAGCCTGTCTCCAAGGTGACTATAAAGGAATCAAGTAGAGAAAACACAGATAAGAATACTTTAGAGACTGCCAATGCAAACAACAGAGAAAGGACATTTGCTACACCATTTGTGACATTAAGTGTTCTAATGAAAATTAAGAGAAATTTGAGCTGGATGGAGCATGAGACAGAGATTAAGAAGGTTTGATGAGGATGAAGTCAAAAGCAAAAATAAACAAAGGATTGAAAAACCACTCTCCAATCCATTTGCCTAGGACAGTGAAAGATGATGTAAAAAAACAAAAACAAATAAGAATGGAAACTATGTAACAGTGGAAGAGATTAGATTTTAAACAAAACTTTTATGAAAAAGACTAAGGGTGGGGGTTGTAGAAATTTGAGCTATAACAACGAATGAAGAATAGGTGATGAAATTTGTTTAAGAAAAAAAGCTGTCATGAGGAATGAGAGCGATCAGACAGACAGCAATGCTCTACATTCAGACACAGTAGATGTTCAAAGGTGGAGGGATGAGAATATTGTCTTAGTGCTGAAGGACAAGGAAAGAGTAAATAGAAAAATAAAGGAGCTCTGATCAAATTGACTTGTAGAGATAAATAAGTATGCTTTCAATGTCCCTAAATTCCAAGAAAATAGGGAACTTGAACTAATAATACTTTCAATATGCTACAATTAAAACAAAATGTACTCTTGCAGAAACTAACTCAGAAACATTTTAAGACTCCAAGTTCATTCAATTAAGGTAAGCCTTTGGCAAATAAGATTAGTTGAATAATATTGGTATAATAAAAAACAGCAATGTTTTTCTCTGATTTATCAATGTCGAGTACAATGTAAAAGCACATTTTTTATTCTATTTGAATATATTTTCTCTAAACTTATACAGGTGCACTGATTGGTTATGAAAAATGTCAATTTGTCTACAATTATATTGAATTATTTTGGCCGATGCTTTATTTTAATAAGAATCATGTTTTGAAGTATGTCAGCTTGAAGATAATTTCCAAGATCTTC